AAAAAAAAAAAAAAAAAAAAAGATATTTTTGCTTTTTCCTCTCCAAACACAAGCTTTTGTTTCTAGTAGAAATCAAACTTGATTACAATAATTCTTTTTTTCGTTTTTGTACCCTGGATCCAAATGGGGACCTTGCACTTGTGAGGCAGGGAGTGGAACCACTGAGCTAAATCCCCAGCCCTGATTACAGTAATTCTAATAGAGCAAATTTTACTCCTCCAAATGGGGTAAGGGAAGGTTCTGTGTGTTCATTTGGGTAGTAGATCCAGAGTCACTGGATCATTCATGCAAAATGTCTATTGTGTGGAAATCATTTTTCAAGAAAGCTGATGAACAAAATAAAAGCACCCAGGCTGAGTGGGTCACCCTTGAAAACAACCGAGAGTTTATATTTTATTTTATTTATTTATTTTTTGGTACCAGGGCTTGAACTCAGGCCCTTGTGCTTGCAAGGCAGGCGGCGGAACCACTGATTCAAATCCCCACCGCGAGCGTTTATTTTTTACACAGACTTGACATCACCACAGATGCCTAACACCAATTTCTTTTTCAGAGTAAGAGACATCCAGAGCGTGTATTTAGATACAACTTTCTGTGACCCAAGATTTTACCAGATTCCCAGTCGGGTAGGTCTGCTGGGAAGCGGGTAAGGACTGGGTGGCTGGTGCCGGCTAGAGGTGTGCAGGCAACAGCCCTGGTCACCGACATCACCCCTGGTGGGAAACCTGTGAACCCTGGGGAGCAAAAGCTAAAGCATTAAACGTCTTTTAAAAATCCCGCCTAGGGGGAGTGCTTAAGTGGGATCTTAGCGCTGGTTCGGAGCTGGATCTCTCGGAGCCCGTATCACGTGGTGTGGCTGAACTGCAAAGCCGCTTACGGTTACGAGTATTTATTCACTAACCTGAGCGAGGAGCTGGGCGTCCAGGTACTGTGCCACCGCGCTGCGCCTGTGCCTTCCGCTGCGTCCCTGCCGGTCCTTCCTCTCCACCTCCGCGGCCTGCTGAGGCCTCCGCCCGCCTCTTCCTAATAGTCCCTCTACTTTCACGTCATCTATTTGAGTGCGGTTTGTTTTGTTTTGCTTTGAAGTGATGAGTTTATCAGTTCATATTTATTGTATGAATGGACGGGTTTCATTGTGGCATTTTTGTACATGCCCATAATACTCATATCATACGGAGAAGATGGAATTTTGTTTGTTTTGTGCTACTGGGCATTGAACCCAGGACCTTTGGATTGAGCTACATCCCCAGCCCCTTTTTAAATTTTAAATTTAAGATATCACTAATCATATCGCCATATCATTAAGTTGCCCAGCCTGGCCTCAAGCTTTCGATCTTCCTGCCTTGGCTTCCCAGAGTGATAGCATTACAGCCTAAACCATTATGCGTTGCTGAGATGGTTTGTTTTTTTTTTGTTGTTGTTTGTTTGTTTGTTTTTGAGGCAGGGCCTAACTGTGTAGTTGAGACTGACCTGGAACTCATCATGTAGCCCAGGCTGGTCTCAAACTCACAGTGATCCTCCTGCCTCAGCCTCCCAAGTGCTGGGATTCCAGGCGTGTGCCACCACGCCTGGTGAGAAGATGAATTTTTGATAATGGCCCTGAACTAAATGAAGAACTGGAACTAGTTGGATATTTAAATTCCATTTAATTTTATGCCATTCAGATCCTCCAGCTAACAAACTTGAGCTGAGAGCTACCGTTGTAGATGGTATTTTAGTAAAGTTAAGATGATTTAATTTTTCTTCAATTTCAAAACTTCCTCTGTTTTTCCTCCCCTTCTACTTTGTCTTTTATTTCGTAAGTCCCTCTTTCCTTGGTTTCTTCCTTCCTTATGTGCTTTTGTCCAAATATGCTGGTATCAAGTTGTCCATTCCCCATTTTGGGAAGGATTTGGTTTTATTCTGAGGTTGCCTTTCCTATGTTTTCGATGTCAAAATTGCCCTTTAAATTAAAACCACAGTGGTGATAGATCACGTTCACACACTCATGTGTGCATAGATACCCCGTCTGGGTTTCCCTCGTGCCTGTCTTGACAGAATGTACAGGTAGCAGTTCCTTGTCAGTTGTGAGCTGATGACGATATTTTTGTGTGTAGTAGAACGTTCTGGAAGCTGGACTCAGCCTTTCTGGGGCAGCCACAGCCTGGGAAGATCAGGGAGCGGCTTCTCTGGGGGAGCCCTCTCTTGAGCCTGTGACTCCTCTGGGGACAATACTAGATCCGTCATTTAAAAGAGGAGGGCAATGAGGTTTTTGACTAAGGGATGCAAGTGATCACTGGTGCAGCTTTTGTAGTCTTCATTTTTTTTTTTTTTT